GGTTTGTTTTTTTTTTTTTTTTAAAGACATTTTTGGCATAGGGTGTGTGCACTCGCAAGAGAGAGAGAGAGAGAGAGAGACCAAGACAGTGAGAGGGAAAGTGAGAAGTCACCCCTCCGGGGGATGGCCATGCCACAATCTCTCCTCCCTTCTCCTCCTGGAATCTTGGGCACACATGCACACGTGCCCGGCATGATTTTCAAGCCACCAGGTCTGGGACTTGAACCACAACCAGGAGGTGGGAGTCCAGTGTGTAACCACTGCTCCATCTGCTGCCCCCTGTGAAGTTCTTTATTGAAACATCCTGCATTATGCCATGACCTGACTGGAAGTGAAAACTCAAAAGTTAAAGTTCAAGGGTTTTGAACTGTCACGTTTTTCTCACACCGGTGAAGGCTGTCCGCCTTTCAGGGCCCATAGCAAAGGCCACCTGCCTCCCTCCTGGTCACTGTGGAGTGTAGGGCTATGGCTTCACCCTCCTCTCCTGCCCCGGGAGCTCCCACGACAGTACTGCTCCCGGAGGGCCACGACAGTACTGCTCCAGGAGGGCAGCGACTTCTGCAATTCTGTCTCTGCTGCATCCCCAGGGCTTGTCCCAGTATGGATGGGACACACTACAGGTGCAGACTCACTGTTGACCACCAATGACCTCTCTTGAGTAACCTGTCCTAGGGCTGTGGATGCACTTTTCTGTCTTTCTTTTTTTATTTGGAGAGTTTTTTTTGCTTTGGGGCATGTGTGCTCATCAGAAAGACGAGAGAGACAGAAAGTGAGAAATCACCCCAGTGGGGGGGGTGGGGGGAGGACGGCCATGCCGCAATCCCTTCTCCTCCATTCTCCTCTCAGGATCTTGGGCACGAACGCACATGCGCCTGGCATGAGTTTAAGCCTCTGGGTCTGGGACTCAAACCATGGTCAACTGCATGGGAGTCCAGTGACATAGCCATTACACCAACTGCTGGTCCCATGGAGGCACTTTTCTACTCACTGATTGACTGCAAGCTCCTTATGGGTAGCGACCCTACCAATGGACGACAATTGGGCCAGTTAGGAATCAGTCGTGTCTCTCCTTTTTGAGTCAACTTTTACTTCTGAAACTACAGATGTACCAAAGCTGCAAAGACAGCTCAGAGTCCCTGTTTACCCCTCGCTGAGCTTCCCTCCTTGTTAATGTCCAGGGTGCCTTTGTCAAAACGAAGATGTCAGGGTCGGTCCAACACTGTTCTGCTATGTCTCTGGTGTCGCAACTGAGCAGTATGCAAAGCACTGTATGTCCCCGTAACACAGACCGAACGTCTGCACGCGGGCAGAAACTGACAGACTGGAGGGTACAATGGCAGGGAGGGCCACTGTGGATGCTGGGGACAGCACAGGACGGGGTGGGGAGTGGGCATCAGGGTGGTCAGGGAATGAAAAGGAAGAGAAGCATTTAACAGACACAAAAACGGAAAGGTGTCTGTAGATGATAATGCACGTGGTGTTATCTGTGACTTGGGTGATCCATGCTGGATTCATTCTGGGAAAACAATTTTGTACGCTATAAAGGTTTATAGTGACAAAATGTAAATTTTAAAAAAGCAGTAAGAAATTGCTTTAGATGAAAAAAAGAGAACTATGCAAGGGCCAGCATTTTCCTTGTGGTGGCAAAAGAGAAATCTGGGGTCTGTATCTGCTTTATGGGGGGTGGGATGCACTGGAGATGCCAAGATGCTTTGCTTTTTTTTTTTTGGAGAGGTTTTCGCTATAGGGCGCGTGCGCTCGCCAGACAGACAGAGAGAGACATAGAGACAGAAAGCGAGAAATCGCCCCCCAGGGGGGATGGTCACGCCGCAATCCCTTCTCCTCCATTCTCCTCTCGGGATCTTGGGCACGCACGCACACGCGCCTGGCGTGAGTTTTTAAGCCACCGGGTCCGGGACGCGAACTACGGTCGACTATGTGGGAGTCCAGCGACATAGCCATTACGCTATCTGCTGGTTCCCCCGAGATGCTTTTAGGGACAGGGGATTGTGGCCACACATGCTCTCTGAGTGAGCTGCTTGGAAGAGGGTTCCATTTCTGGGTTCCCAGTGTTCTTCCCCGACTCAAGAAGCCTCTGCTCACCACCTGGTGGCCTGTGTCTCCCCTGTTTCAGTCTCACTGCTCCCTGTCCTGGTCCTTGAGTAACGGGGTTCTGAGTTGTCAACCTGACCTCATCTCAAATTGCAAAGAGGAGAGGGAGCAGTAGCAATTCTCCTGCCTCAGCCTCCCGAGTAGCTGGAAGGGAGCAACTGCCTCTTCCCATTGCTACAGAGCACTGTCGTCCATGAACTCTGGTTCACTGCGGTCTGTTAACTCTGCGGCTAGCTGGAAAACCAAGGTCAAGACCTGTGTACTTCAGTGGCCCAGGTCTGCTCCCTGATATTTGGAGGGGGGCCTCTCACGTCTGCCATGGAAGGGGCCTCAGGTTGTTCACTGCACAAGGGCACCTGGTGGAGGAAGCCAACATCAAATCCATGCTCTTCTCACAACGCTCTGCCTCGGTGACAGCTCCACCTGCCCAGAGGAAGGTGCTCGTGATCCTAGGTGGCATGTAGGCACTGTGGGTTAGGCTAGTGGATGCCCCGTGCTCTGGAACCCTTGAGAAGGCACTCTGCCAGGCCAGTGAAGATGCCACCAAAGTCAAACTTCAAAGATACTAGTACTGTGGCCAGCAGATGGCATAGTGGTTAAGGTGCTGGACTATGGTTTAAGTCCCAGACCTGGAGGCTTGAAACTCATGCCGGGAGCATGTTTGTGTGCTCACAATCCCAACAGGAGAACGGAGAATGGAGAATGGATTGAAGCGTGACCACCCCCAGTGGGTGATTTCTCGCTTTCTGTCTCTCTGGCGAGTGTATGTGCCCTATAGCAAAAATTCCTCTTGAGAAAAAAAAAAAAGATATTAGTACTTTGGCCCAGCCCTGGTAGCACCTGCTGGATAATGCTGCTTGGCAGGCTGGAGTCAAATAGGAGACCTGGGTTCGATTCTTGACCCAGTCTAAAACACTGGTATGGCCATACAGGTCTGTAGTCTGGGCTACTCAGGAAGGTGAGGCAGGAGCATTGGGACATAGCAAGACCCTCTCTAAACACCCTCCCCCCCACACACACACATGCACACACACACGCACACACAAACCAGTAATCGCGACAACCACAGTCATAGTCAGGCTGCTTTCAAAACTGATGAGACATACCTTGGGGAGGCTGTAAATAACAGCACTTTGTGAGCATAAAATGGTCTTCCTTCAACCAGAAAGGTAACATCAGACATTTCTTTATTGTTAAGAAAATGAGGATCTAGAATAAGAAAGGGACAAAGGGCAGCTTTAGTGGAAAGGAGGGTGAAATTGGGTTCCTCGTGCAGCAGGTGCAAAGAAAAGCAGACCTGGAAACCATGGTGATAAAACCCTCAAGGGCAAGACAGCAACCGACAGGGGACAGGATTAGCCAAAGGACACTCAGGTCACCGATGCACAGCTTTTCACCGGAAATCCTCAGACCATCTCCCCAGAGAGGTCTCACTGCAGCCCAGTTCAGATGGCTTCCAGGTGTGAAGGCCAGCCTCCGCCCACATTGCATCTAAGAATGCCACTCACCCCACCTGTGCTCCTCTTCCCTGGCGCCATGCCCTCCCTGCCCCATGGAAGTGGTTCACCCTCACCCTTGTGTCCCTGGTGATCCCAACTCCAAGCCCTTCTCTCCCAGCGTCCAGGGCCAACGAGCCAGTCCCCTGCCCTCATCAACAAGAACAGCGAAGATGTAACTAGTGTGTACTTACGATTAACAGCAACCAATAGCAAGGCCAGGCCCTGCAAACTGACAGGACCCATGTGACCCCCACTGTGCAGGTGAGGAAACTGAGACGTGCACGGGGTACAGTGACTCGTTCAAGCCAGGGGCTGGTGGAAAAGCCAGGGTTCGAATATGAACATTCTCGTTCCAGGGCCTGCACTGTTACTCCGGGTTGCTCCAATCTGCTGAAATCCTATTTTTGCTCTTAGACCCGGGGCTCCAGGAGGTGCCTGTCTGTCCTCACTCCACATCCCTTGTCCTCCAGTCTCTGTCCTCTCAGCAGTTAGTCAGTGCCCTCTCGTACAAGAAGCAACAGGGCTCTAAGCTCTGGGGACACGTACTAGGACACCCAGCCTGCAAGCTGACGGGAACAGCGGTGCCCCAGGGCTGACCTTTATGAGTGTCAAAATTGAAGATTCACTCTCTGGGGTAACCTTCTCCACTTGATTTAAAGCCTCTTGCTTGGAGTGACTTTATCTCTCTTGGGCAATCTCCCTTCCTTATCTCTCATTCCACTGTTCACGTCCAACCAGCCCCCACTCTTGCTCCCCGGATTGCTAGCATCTCCTTCTCTCTCTCTCTCTCTCTCTCTCTCTTTTTTTTTTTGAGAGGTTTTTGCTACAGGGTGCGTATGTGCGCCAGAAAGACAGAGAGAGACAGAGAGACAGAAAGCGAGAAATCACCGCCCCCCTCCCAGGGGGGATGGCCACGCTGCAATCAGTTCTCCTCCATTCTCCTCTCGGGATCTTGGGCACTCACGCACACGTGCCTGGCGTGAGTTTAAGCCACTGGGTCTGGGACTCGAACTACGGTCAACTACATGGGAGTCCAGTGACATAGCCATTATGCCAACTGCTGGTCTCTCTCTCTCTCTTTTTTTAAAAAACAGTTCTTTTTTATTCTTCTTTCCCAGAATTCATTGGGAGGGCAAGAAGACAGTGTACTACCAAAAAGAAAACAGCAAAAACAGGCATGTGCTCTGTGATTTGCCACAGTCCCCACTACTCCCTATTGTCTTTCACTGAACCCATGTCACTCATTTATGTTTCCTGCCTGGCCTAGAGAGATGCTAGTTTGAGACACCTGCCATGGATTATTATCTTCCTCTAAAAGCGCATCCCCAAAGAACTACTATTCGGTAACCTTTAATTATCCTAGCTTGAAATGCCGAATTAGAGATGCAAAATGTGTATGTTCCACATTCCATTCATTAACAATTATGCGATGCCCTTCTTCTTTATATCATATGCTTTGAGCCTCTCAGGTCTGCCTTCTTACCCCCGCCCTTGGTGCTAACCTTTGGGATGCCAAAGCTTGGTCTGCAAAGTGGTTGCTTTTAACTGCTGGGGTAAGAAATGTCAGTGCACTCCAGAGGAGAAATGCCCCCTCCTCTTCCTGTACAGAAAAGCGGATTTTCTGCTGTGACCTTGAAACAGCCCTTGCAAATGCTTGCTCTAACAAGGGCGTCTGACACAGCAGAGATCACTGCTATGTCCTGGAACTGTTACCTTCGATCGCTAACGTCTGCTCACGTGGCTTTTAGAACGTGTTGCCCTGGACATATTTTAATTAATACCTGTTTCTACAAGGCAGAAATACGTGTGACCTGGGCACATCCTGGGTCGCCCACAAACACAAACATAAAGATAAGCCGACAGCCTTTGACGTGGCTGATATATTTTTTATTTCAGCGCCTAGTTGTGTCTCATTTCGTCGAACAAGTTATTCACGACAGGAACAACAGTACTTTCACGCAGCCCCGTGAACTCAGCCTTTTAACTGACGTAGACTGTCCAGCCCTCGCTAATGAGTGCTTTTGCTAAAGAGCAGAATTTTCAGGTGCTTCCACTTCTCAAATGTTCCCTAATCTTGAAGAAAAGAGAGGTAGGTAGGTAAGGTCCCCAGCCCCCTTAGGAAAGGATCCTTGACTCTTTAATATTCTGTAACTCCCCAGGCAGCGGGGAGAGAGGTCTTTGCGACAATCTCCAAGTAGCCTGAGTGTTCTTGGCCTGTGATCGCCCAGTTGCCCCAGGAACCTCTGAAGGAACTGGGAGCCAGTCAGAAAACCCTGATGGGGCTCCTCCTAGAAACTCTCAGAAGCTGGGACCGAGGAACAATGGAATTATGGCTTTGGAAAGACCTAACCCAATGATGATGCTCAACATCTGTCTCCTTGGGGGGCTGAGGATTGCTTGAGACTGAGTGGACCAAGGGAGTGGCGGGCACAGGATCGGTGAAAGTCTCCACCGAGAACAAACGTGATTCTTGTCATAAGATTTGAGGGCATCCCGCCAGCTCCGTTCAGGTATGGGCCCTTGTGATTGTATAGATGTGTGAGTGTATGGTGGGGGGCTTGGTCCTCTCTCTCTTTCTCCTTCTCTTTTGAGAGGTTTTTGCCTTATGGTACATGTACTCACCAGAGAGAGAGAGAGAGAGATAGTGAGAGGGAAAGCAAGAAATCACCCCCCAGGGCATGGCCACACCACAATCCCTTCTCCATTTTCCTCCAGGGATCTTGGGCATGCAAGCGCATGTGCCTGGCTTATTTTCAAGTCACCGGTCCTGGACTCGGACCATGGTCCACCACGTGGGAGTCCAGTGACATGCCTGCTACACCATCTGCTGGCTCTGGTCCTCTCTTCTAGTTCCCTGTAGTACAATTTCCATTTGAGAAGCATTGCTGGCCTGGCCCTGTCCCCTGCTCGTTGTTCCTCAGGGAGGAGGAGGTGACTTAGAGGGACGAGTTTGGGAGGAGAGAGATAGTGAGAGGGAAAGCAAGAAATCACCCCCCAGGGCATGGCCACACCACAATCCCTTCTCCATTTTCCTCCAGGGATCTTGGGCATGCAAGCGCATGTGCCTGGCTTATTTTCAAGTCACCGGTCCTGGACTCGGACCATGGTCCACCACGTGGGAGTCCAGTGACATGCCTGCTACACCATCTGCTGGCTCTGGTCCTCTCTTCTAGTTCCCTGTAGTACAATTTCCATTTGAGAAGCATTGCTGGCCTGGCCCTGTCCCCTGCTCGTTGTTCCTCAGGGAGGAGGAGGTGACTTAGAGGGACGAGTTTGGGAGAAGGAGCAGCCATGTGCCGTGGGGCCTGCCTCCAGGATCTGCCAGTGTACGAGATGCACCTGGGATCTGGACGCCCTGGGCAGTCCCTAGCTTCCATGGCCGCAGGAGAAAGTCCACCTATGAGAGAACAGGGCGCTGGCTGGTCTCCTGGTCACACTCCCAAGGTCTAGTCTGCAGACAATTGTGTCACATAACAGAGGGGACACACTTCATCTCACCAGCCTGACTCCTGGATCACTCTCTCTCGTCTGCCTGCAAAACCTCCCACCCTCTTCCTCTCTGGTGATGGCTCGCCTGCCCGTGGTCCTTAAATCTCAAAGCCGCAGCCCACGCAGGCCTGGACCTACTCACCCAAGCGCGAGGTCTGCTTCCGTTTGATCTCCGTGAGCTTGGGGATGGGGTAGGGCCCGTAGCAGTGGGTGAAGATAACGCAGAGCTGCTGACTGATCACTTCATTCTGCGGGTCAGAAAGGGCAGCTCGTTATGGGGGCTGGGGTGGTCCAGCTAAGCCATCACCATGGGAACGTGTCCCCCCAGACGAGGGGCGCCCACGAATAGGCTTCAGGTTCCGAGGAAAGGCCCAGGGTACAACGTGCTGTTTGTCCTGACAGGCCCCGGCCCATTGTCTATTTCTTATGAAAGTTCGGAGATCTGGGATTCAGTTCTGTCTCACCCTAATCTTTTACTATCCACCAGAAGGAAGGCTTTTGTAACTTGGTAAGTTAAAAATAAGTTTTTACCCCCAAGCCCACCTTCATCAATATTCTAAAATTCGAGAAGCTGCTAATAATTATCCTGAACTCAGCGGCAGGAAGCCTTGTGGGTCCTGTGACCCTCTCCATTAGGACAAAGCTCCGGATTCAGCTTTCTAGTGGCTCTGATTCTGGTGCAGAGGCGTTTCCGGATCCTGGAGTGCTCGGCTGAATCACTTTCTCAAGGGAGAACAAGGGGGAGGCGGGGGACCGTTGTGAGATTTGAACTACAGTCGCCCTGGATGGCTCAGGGGCCCTCGCACCTCTCCTTCGCTGTCTGCCTCTTCCCACTAGGAACCCAGTTCTGTTCCGTGCTCTCCCTCCAACTGCAGGCGGGCAGGAGAGAGGACACCCCTCCCAGCACTGTTTGCTTTTTACTGGGTAAAGGGGGCTGATCTAGGGCCTAAAAAGGGGGTTCGATAGGACAATATTTACATTATGTGAGAAAAGTAGGTTACAACACAGCACGTGCCCCCTCTGCTGGGAAACAAAACCCTACCAGGGGATTTGGATTGACAGTCATGTGGAGAAAAAGGTCTAAAAAATAGAGGTTACCTTTGGGTAAGATTATGATGTTTTCTCTTTTTATTTATATCTATATTTTTTTTACAGCAAATAAGTATTGCTTTTGTAATAAAAACAGGAAACACTATTTTGGATTTTTGTTATTTATTTATTTATTTTTTTTCAAGAGACTTTTGCTATAGGGAGCATGTGCTCGCTGGAGAGACAAAGGAGAGACAGAAAGCAAGAAATCACCTCCCAGGGGGATGGCCACACTGCAATTCCTTTTCCATTCTCTTCTCAAGATTTTGGGTATGCACGCAGACGCGTCCAGCATGAGTTTTAAGTTGCCAGGTCTGGGACTTGAACTGTGGCTGACTAATGTGGGAGTCCAGCAACATAACCATTATGCCATCTACTGGTCCCTTGGATATTTTAAAATAAGGAATTATTTATTTAATTTTATTTATCATTGTTTTATTTAGTTTGCTATAACGGTCCACACTCATGAGAGAGAGAGAGAGAGAGAGAGAGAGGGAGAGAGAGCGAGCGAGCAGGTAGTGAGAAAGCAAGCCAACAGGTCTAACACTTGAACTGTGGTGAGCCACGTGGGAGCCCAGCGCCTTAACCATCATGCCACCTGCTGGCCCCACTATTTTGGATTTTAAAATATGGGCTTAGAACTATCGGTGAATGGGGACCAGCAGGTGGCATTGTGGTTAAGGTGCTGGACACGCCCACATGGCTGACTACGGTTCGAGTCCCGGACCTGGTGGCTTCCTTTCTCCCTTTCTCTCTCTTTCTCTGTCTCTCTCTCTCTGGTCAAATTAAAATAAATGAATGAATGAATAAAATTAAATAAATAATAATTTATATATATATAAAAAGAACTATCGGTGATTCAAGCTACTTTTTTCTTTTAGTTTATTTATTTCTTCCTGAGAGAAGGACAGAGAGAGTGTGTAAGACAATGTGTAAGAGAGTGTAAGAGAGAGTGTGTAAGAGAGATAGAGAGAGACATCTCATGCTACCCCAACCCCACTCAGCCTGGATCATGGGCATACACATGCTAACATGCATGTTCATGAAACATGAACCCAGGACCTTCCCATGTGGCTTCCACACCACAGAGGGTTGAGGTTACCACTGTGCCACCACACTGGCCTCAAGCTAGTATTAAATCATGGTGCTCCTAAGGCAGAAGGGTGTAACTCAGCATGAGAAGGTAAAACCCAAGCCCTGTGATTGCGGTGGGTGAGCACAGCGAGCACAAGGCCACCTCTGAGTGGTTCGCACAGGTGTAATTACCTTAGAAGGGAAGGGGACTCTACTGCCAAGAGGATTCTCCATTCACACCGCCCACCCCAATTTGCCAGGAGGTGCGTGTGCTCCCCAGGGTGAGACAGAGAGAGAAAGTGAGAAAGCACTGCCCCCCCTCACTCCCATGGCGAACAGGTCACTCTGCAATCTCTTCTCTTTCACCTCTCCTTCGGTTTGGGATTTTGGACACGCATGCACAAGTGTTTGGCATGTTTCTCAAGCCACCAGATTTGAGACTTGAACTGCACAGGCAGCCACGTGGGATCTAGCTTCCTTAACCACCATGCCACTGGCTGGTCTGATGATTAGTATTGTGCTCACTGGAGAGAGAGAGTGAGAGAGTGAGAGAAAGAGCGAGAGAGAGCGAGAGAGAGCGAGACATCACCCTCCAGGGGGAAGGGCCATGCCAGAATCCCTTCTCCTCCTTTCTATTCCTGAGATTTGGGGCAAACACACACATGAGCCTGGCGTGAATTTCAAGCTGCCAGGTCCAGGACCTGAACCATGGTTGGCCATGTGGGAGTCTAGCACCTTAACCACCATACTACCTGCTGGCTCCTGATGATTCTTTATAACCAAAGGATGTCAAGTATTCCTCTCACTTAACACAGATGAAAGTGCCCATTTCATAGTTTAATGCGGTAGTTTTCAAAGTGTGGTTCCCAGGTGACATCATCAAGATCACCTGGGGGGCCAGAAGGTGGCATGGTGGTTAAGGGCACTGGACTCCCATGTGGCCGATCGACCGTAGTTCGAGTCTCGTACCTGGTGGTTTGCTTTCTCACTTTCTCTCTCTCGCTCCATCTCTCTCTGGTCAAATTAAAAATGAATAAATAAAATTAAATAAAATAATCCTTTTAAAAAAAGATCACCTGGGAGCTTATTAAAAACATAAATTCTTGGGACTGGCAGGTGGTGTGGTATTAAGGTGCTGGACTCTCACATGGCCAACCACAGTTCGAGTCCTAGACCTGGTGGCCTGCTCTCTTTGTCTTTCTCTGATCAAATTAAAAAACCAAAAAACCAGTAAGAATATATAAAATTAAATAAATAGTTCTTAAAAAAACAAACAAACAAACAACAACCACAAATCCTCGGGTGTCATTTGAAACCTTCTGACACAAACTGGGAGTGAGACCCGGGGCCTGTCCTTCAGTAGGTGTTCAGGTGCTGCTGATGCTCCTGGAGGGTGGAGAATCATCCCCTCTGGGTCTGACCTGGGCTGTGGGCCCTCACTTTGTTTCCTTTGGCCTGACGTCTTACCACTCAACATGTGCCGCTCAGAGCAGCAGCAGCAGCAGCAGCATGACCTGGGAGAAAAGCACCCTCCCACCCAGGCCCCCTGCATCAGAATCCTTATCATGGTGTGCTCTGCGGGTGAAACCCATGCACATTTGTGTCTGAGTGTTGTGCAGAGGGCAGAATTCCCCCCCCCGCCAAGAGAACTTGAATACCATGAGATACCCCACACCATGAAATGTTACTTTACATGGCAAAAGAGACTTGGCAGGAAAAAAGTCAAGGTTACTATCTTAGTCCAGTGGGTCTAACAAAGTACCATACACAGGTGGCTTAGAACAACAGAAACTGATTTCTCACTGTTCTGATGGGAAGTCCAAGACGAAGACCAGTATTTTTTTTTTTTTTTAAGAATTATTCATGGGACCAGCAGTTAGTGTAATGGCTATGTCGCTGGACTCCCATGTAGTCGATCGCTGTTTGAGTCCTGGACCTGGTGGCTTAAACTCATGCCGGGCGTGTGCACGTGCCCCTGAGAAGAGAATGGAGGAGAAGGGATTGCAGCGTGGCCATCCCCTCCTGGGGGGGTGATTTCTTGCTTTCTGTCTCTCTGTCTCTCTGACGAGCGTGCGCACCCTATTGCACAAACCTCTCAACAAAAAAAAGAGAATTATTCATTTAATTTATTATTATTATTATTTTATTTAGAGAGATTTTTACTATAGGGTGCATGTGCACTCGCTGGAGAGACAGACGGAGGCAGAGAGACAGAAAATGAGAAATCACCCCCCAGGGAGGATGGTCACACTGCAATCCCTTCTCCTCCACTCTCCTCTTGGGACTCTGGGCACGTGCACAGATGAGCCCAGAGTGAGTATTTTTTTTTCAAGTCACCGGGTCCAGGACTTGAACCACGGTCGGCTATGCGGGAGTCCAGCAACACATAACTATCATGCCAGCTACTGGTCCCATTACTATTATTATCATTATTATTTAATTTGCCGCAGGGCATGCAAGCTCACCAAACAGAGACAGAGGGAGAGGGAAAGCAGGAAGGCAAGCATTTCGGGCGTCTGTGAAGGTCTGCTTTCTCACAGGCGGTGCTTTCTGGCTCTGTCCTTGCATGACGGAGGGAGCAATCCAGCTCTCTGGGGCCTCTTTCATAAGGGCACTAACTCCATCATGAGGCTCTGCCCTGATGACTTAATCACATCCTGAAGGCCCCACCTCCTAATACTGTCACTCTGGATGCTAGGATTTCAACATGGGAATTTGGGGGCAATTCGAACTTTCACACCACAGCAGTTACTAATCAGGTGACTTTAACATAGGGAGATTATCCTGGATGATCTGGATGAGTCCAGTGTAATCACATAAGCCCTTAAAAGTAGATGGGGACACAGCAGGGACACGTGATGCTTCTGAGGCAGACCCGCATGCGAAGGTTGCCATTTTGCATTTGGAGCCTTCCCTGTCTATGCCAGGTGCACGTGAGTCTGTAACCCAGGCACGGATGCCTGACCTAGGGAGGTCTCAAATGCGAACTGGATTCTACATCAAACCTGAATGAGCTTGGAAGCTGGTGGTGGCAGGGTGTGGTGCTATTAAGACCCTAATAGGATTGCTATAATTCTCTCATTCT